AAGTCTTCAAGGACTAGGTTAGGAACAGATCATCATGAAGAAATTCTATCTATATCAGTGGTTCTCAACCTGTGGGTCGAGACCCCATTTGGGGTCGAACAACCATTTCACGTGGGTCGCCAAACAACGCAGTCTGCCATTTTTTTCCCCTTTTCCTTGGCTGTGCTACTCCCTTTTATTCTATTGGCTTTTGAAAGCCAATAGAATAGACTCTCTTGAATAGAGTCTAATTCTATTGGCTTTCAAAAGCCAATAGGAATTGTCCAGGCTATCTCTGCCCTGCTGAGCTCACCAAAAGTCCCATTCTGCAAACGGTGCTGTAAGTTGTCTGCAGCGAAGGCGAGCTGTCTGGAAGTTTCCACCCCTCCCTGCTGAGCAACTACTAAAAATGTAAGAAAAAGAGGGCCAGGGGTGGGAGGTGGGAGGCCGGCGGGCGCAGGGAGGGTTGCTGGCGCACGTGGGGCCCGGCGGGTGCCTTACCTCCCTTGGGCTGGGCCAGCTGGTGGCCCAGCTGGTGGTCGGCCTGCCCCGTCTCTGCCGCTTGCCAGCTACACCTCGGCCGGCGCAGGGGGCGGCACCACGCTTACTGAAGAAAGAAAGCACTAAGCACATGAGGAAGGTAAACTGTCTGAGTCTCTCCCAAATCATGCCTTTGGCAGCTGTACTAATGTACACTGCAGGACCATGATCAGCCAGAAATTCTGCTCCTGTGAAGCTTATACAAAATAGGGAGACTTCTTGCACAAATATTAGCAAATGAAGATTATAAAAAGCTTCCAAAATATTATCCCGCCTTCATCTATCTAGTGCTGCTCCAAATCTCATCCAAAACACTGAGGGAGAGATTATCTTTGAAAATTATACTTAGATGTGCAAAGGAAATCTGCATCTTTCATCAGGAAAGCAGATTATATTAAGAAGCTGAACACATGTTTGGGACAATAATAAGACAATTGTTTATTGTTGACCAGCCATTAAGCCATATCAAAATACTGAATAAAGAACACAGAATTAATAAGACCATATATTATAATAGAACAAAAGAAACATTTTTAAAGAATAAGAATAAAGAATGCAAATCATATTTTTGCATTACCCCTACAATTTACCTCAATCAGACCCACATATGCAGATATCAACTGAACTGTTTTATTCAAAGAGCTGTTTTATATTAATTTTTGAATTCTGACTGCACATGAAATGTGTTGTTTTAATATAAAAATGTATACATGTTTGGGGAAAAGAGATATAAAACACAGCAGCATCCCCAGGCTGAATCACACTTTCCCCCATCCACAACTAACTCTAGTCAATTATTTACTGGCCCTTATTAATTACAAAGTCAGCTTAGGAAATTCCTGTTTGATTAATGTTTGATAGTGGTATCATTGGAAGTACGTAAAAAAGCATTAAAAACAGGGATAGATTAGATTTGGATTTCTGCTGGGTATTGTCTAAGACTTCATCCAACAAAGTAGTTTTCAAGAATCCCATCACCTCTACCATAAAATACTATTGTACAACAATTTTTTTTCTAGAAGAGAGGCAAAGATGAAAGCTGAACCACAGCTCCTTCCCCTCATCATAATTCACTTTTCTTTCCCATGTAGCTTAAATGAATCTAAGGCAAATGCATATAAATAACTGAAAGCACTGACTGAGAAATAGAACCCAACAGACTTCCTGGACTTCAATCTGCCCCTTCAAATTTTATTCCAGGAAGTTCTTAATGGATCTCCCCCCTTTATTTTTTAACCAAATGTGTGATAACTGGAGCTATACAAAGCCTCTAGTTCTTAATATCTTGCCATGTAGGCATATGTGATGAAGAACACGCAGAATCCTAGAAGAGGCAGGGAACAGAATGCTAGTCTAGTTAAGGGAGTTTCTTTCTCTTTCCCCCCACCCCTCCCTTCTCCTTTGGATTTAGGCCAATTCTTTTTTCAGGCACTTATAAAATTAACACAGGGAAAATGACTGATCATTATGTAACTTTTACTTGACAATGAAATGTTCAAAATGCATCATTCCAAATAAAGGAAAATTCCCCAAGATATTGCTTTGGTATTATTCAATATTTACAAGTGCTGATTAGCCTCACCAAATTCAAGTGAACTCTCCTGTTGATGGTATTACATCACAGTTACATTTAGTATGTATGACAGAATCTTTCTCCTGCAACTGGGTCACTTATGCAAGGATGCAATGGCTTCCCTCAAGATCGCTTCACTACCTTGCAAAGCTTGTGAATGACACCACATGATAGTGGAAATGAAGCAGAGCGGGATGTGAAAATGAATAAGGGTGAAGCTATAACAGCATACCAAGTGCTCTCCAATGAAAGCAAAACGTGTTTAAAACACAAGACATTCTAGACACTTTCCATTCTGTCAATGGATTACATTAGACCACCTCAGCAAATTAAGACTCTTGAATGAATATGGAGATAAATAAAGTAAGGGTGTGTATATGTGTGTGTGCACGCAGGCGTGCATATTTGTGCTCTCTCTCACAGACTCTTTACAAATACATCCATTTTCTCTCTTATTTATTTGGCTATACATACGTAGATGGACTCAGATGCTTCTATTTAAATGCTTCTACTCTCTTTCCCATTATTCTTCACTCTTACAAATTATTAACTCAAAACCCAGCTTTGCCAGCAAAGGACCTCACTGATTCTTTTTATTTTCCATTCTCTGACTATCTCAAGCTCTCTCTCTCCCTCCCTCTCTCTCTCTCTCTCTTTCCCTTCCTCCCTCTCTCTCCCCCCCCCTCTCATATACACACACAAAGTCAAACATCAAGGCTATTACAGCTGCTTTGAACCATGAGGTGTTTACTTCCTAGAGGGTTGAGCCCTTCATCTAATTAGACAACCTTAGGTTTAGCTCATCAGCCCAAGATAATTAATTAGAAGCAGTCTAATTATCAGAAGATTCTTCAATAACAGCTGTGTTGCAGTACAGACATCAACCAATCCAGAGAGATTCTATGCTTGGCCATCAATTGTGTATTTGCACTTAGGAAAACTGGCTTCATGGAAACTGTTGTCAGAGAACAAATAAGAACTGCTGTAGCATAAAAGAAAATGCGACCAGAGGAAAAAAAGGAAGGAAGAGAAATTAATTTTATTTGTACTTTGCCTTCCCAAACAGGGAGAGATATACAATCAATTAATAGGCCAAATCTAGAGAGCAAAGGATGTTCACTCTCTAACATGACACAAATAAACAGGCAGCAATAGAAAATACAGTGTGACTTTTTGTTGAGGACCATTCTGTAGTAGGCAAGGGTTTTTTTTTTCCCTCCCAAGAGATCTCACAATCCACAGTTCACCTCTCAGCAGCCAGATATAGAAGGTGTAGAGGTCAGGAAATATAGGCAGCTTCTCTGCCATTACCTTTAGAATACACCCAGACACCCCATATACACCTTGTGTGTTTAGCAAAGCCATCTGGGCATCTTGCAATACATGTGCCATACATGAGCTTCACTTACATTCAAACAAAACACTGCAGAAATGGGGGGGGGAGTGAGCATCTGGAATGCCAGGAAACACTGCCTATGTATTTATAAGCTTAGATCTCATTTATCATTGCCAAGCCCATCTTGCAAAGCATGTGAATGACAAAATAGATCATTCATAGATCACCAACATCACAGACCATATTTCTTTAACATGTCACTAGGATCCAATATCTTCACAATAGGGAGGCACAGAGCAGGGTAGAATTGCTCTTCTTGTCACCAAGACAAAGATTATGACCTCCAATAAAAGAATAGCATCATAAATACACAGGCACACTTGTAACAAGAGAAAAAGGATACTGAAGGAGGGGAGAAATTAAATCCCATGCCACTATTAAGCAAAAACAATATATATATTTCTTTCTGATTCACTAACACACCTCTAGATTAGAACAATGAGAGAAGAAACACAAAGCACGGGTCATAAAAGAAAGCTGGATTCCTGCAATTATGTCAGGCCTCCTGGTGCAATATGGTTCTCTCAGGTGGTCATTGTGTTGTGGGGCAGATTGTAACAGATGCCCCTCACATACACTTCCAGACTGCAACACTCTCATTCTGGCAGAATGGCAGACTTCAAATGAAAGAGTTTTGCCCTGAAGCAAAGATCAGCAGCTGCACATTTCTGTTCCTCCAGAATCTGACCCCATTAATAGGGAAGAGGGAGAAAGAAATAAGGGTGAGCTGGCAAAGGAAGGCAGCGTTGTATCTCTGGAGGACCCACAATAATAATAAAAATAATAAAGCGTGTGGGGGGGATTTTCTTCCAGCGCCACCCAGCGCCACCCATCGTCTTTGAGCTGAGAGGTAGGAGGGGAGACCAAAAAACTGGGCTAAAACAATATTCTCCCGAGCTGGAGGCTGCAGTTCCGTCCCTTCCCCGCCTCTGCCGAGGGGGTGTGTCTTTTTTCCCCCTCAGGTGTAGCGGTGGCTCCTACCGTGCTAGTCCCGGCGGCTGCCTCAGGCTCCGCTGAGCTGCACCTTCACCCTCCCTTCCAGTCTTTTGCGCCTTTCTTTCAGCAACCGGCGATGGTCACCACCGTCCCCACGCATACAACCACAAAGCCTTGGGACAGCCCGGGGACTAAACGTCAATCATCCCCCAGGTAGCCAAAATGCCGGGGACCGCCCTTTCTTTCCAGAAAAAAACTGCCCCTCCGGGCTTAGATTTGACGGAACGCCGAGCCCTTTTTCGCCTCCTTGTTATTCCTTCTTCCCCACCATCACCCTCCTAACCCACCAAACCTAAGGGGGGGGGGAGCCAGAACGATCCCTGCAACGCCCTCAATCGCGCACCTCTTGAGACTCCCTCGACTCCTCTTCAGTTTAGGCGTGTTCCCTGGCTAAGAATCCACCCGCTCCCCGCCGCCACGTGTGAGTGTGCCACCCCCATTTTCTGCCATTAGAATGGGGAGCTCCCCACTGCCACTCGACCCCACACGTCCAGCCGAGCCATCCGGGACCCACCGTGTCCGCCTCGCAAGGAAGCCGGGGACCTGTAGATCGCGATAGGCACTGAAGGGTGCTTGCTGTTGCTGCCATGGAAATGGTGGATATGCGGCGCCCCCAAACTGGAGGCACCCCAAGCCACCCCGAGGAAGCCACTGAGAGTCAACGGGAGTATCCAGAGCACGGCCAGCTGGCCACGAGACTGGACTGGCTCGGACAGCATGAACTCCCTCATCCGCTGGGGCATGGCGGGGCGGGGGCACCCCCACCCCACCCCGTCAGGAGCGAGGCAAACTTTGGGCGAGGAAAGCGCAGACGGGCGGCTCACCGCACTAAGCGGTTCGTCATTGTGGGTGCTTCTTCTGGGCGCCGATCCCTCGCCCCGGGTCCCTTCTTGCCCCAAAGAGGCCCGAACATAGTCCAGGGCGGCCGAGAAGCGCCAAATTCCCGTGGAGAAAACGCGGCGGGACGGCCCCGAGGAGTCTCCAGTGCTTCTCCGCGCGGCTACCTCCACTGTCAAGCAGCGCTCAGGGGACTCTCCTCCATAATCCACAAAGCGGGTGATCCTCCCGCCAGGAATGACCAGCCAAGGTGGGAACAGGGTGCCCAATTCCCAAAGAAAAGCAACCGTCGCAGGGGGGGATCCATCCAGCGGAGCGAGCGACTTGCGCTTCTTAAAGGCGCGCCGACAACGCGCGCAGCTCCCCGGGCGAGCCTCCTCTCTCCTTTGCTCTCCGCCTATTGCCAGCGCAACGAGGGCGAAGAGGAAGACGGCGACGGCGACAGCGAGGACGGCGGTGGGCAGGAGGCGGCGAGCGGAGCTTTGCAGGGAGAATCCATTGCACGCGTCTGAGCGGAGCCACCGCGGCGAGGGGGGCGGGCGAGAGTGAACGAGGAGCAAGCCATGCTAGCTGGCAGCGAAGGCGAAGCGAGCGCTATGCAAATCTGCAGTCTCCCAACAGCAAATCACCGGCGCCCCTATGCAATGCAGCGGACTAGCCTATGGGGGAGTAAGCAAGCGGGCGCTGGCCCCGGCTCGCTTCCTCACGGCGGCGGCGGCGGCGACGCGCTAACTGGAGCGGGCCATGTGGCAGGCAGGCTGCGTGCTGCTCATAATAGCCTACGGGAGGCTCTGCAGCTTCCTTGCTCGGGGAGAATTTCCGGGTGGGATGGGGAACTGAGGACTCAAATACTTTCAAATACCGTTTTTGTTCCACGCCCTCCCCCAGACATTAATTCTGTCCGTGTTTCAGGACCCATCTGCGGGTGACGTTAAGCGAAGGGTGCTTCTCCGCCTCTTCTTATCTTTAAGGGAATGCCGCCTATTGGAAAGGAGTGGAGATGCTTCAAAGAGGAAGCGCAATCATTCCTCCTCTTTTCCTCTGCCCTTTCACAAGAGACGCCTCCCCAAAACCACATAAGCCCTGCCACCTCAGAGAACAAGCAATATAGCGAGCATCCAAGATAAGGTCTCTGCCAGCCCCGCCTCTGCTCTCTTCCTGACTACCTCCTGTTCTTCTCCTCTGAGTTTACCCCATTCGATGAATGGTGTGGGGGACCCTACTGGTTCCCTGTCCACACTATACACCTTTTTCTGCTTTCCTGTCCTGTCTCACAGGAAGAGAGAGAATGCGCCAGCAGATACAGTACTGCAGAAGGTTTAGGCAGGTGAGCATCCCAGCTCCTTCCAAAGAGAACAAAAGACGGTGAGCCCCTGAAACAGTGGCAGCACCTTCACCCTCTCAGGTGAGCAAGTGAAAACATGATTGGGCTGCTCTTTGCATGACCAAGCCATTTGCTGTGCTGTCCAGAGAGGGAGAGAAATGATACAGGTGGGCTCTTTCCCTCTGCCCCCCCCCACTTCCAACTGCAACTTCAGTCCATTGTTCTGCACTATCTAAGGAGGCTGAAGAACAGCCCTAGGTAGGAATGCTGCTTCCCTTTGCTAATTTTGTATTTCTCTGCTTTTCTTGAGCCTGAAGAAATAAGAATTTGACAATTGATGGTTACTGCTACCTCACTTTGAGATGTGCAGTGGAAAGAGTTGGACTCAATCATCTGCTTTTTATGTTGGTAAAAAGGGTAGCCCCTTGTAATGAAAAGCAGCCACTGCTTTGGGCAGCTTGGTGGGCAGTACATCTTACCTGGATGAATTCAAATCCCCATGCCACCCAAACTAAATTCTAGAAGACCAAAGAGATTAGGTCACTGAAGTTCATAAGCAAACTACCAAGCAATAGCGCTCCAGATTTGTTGCTGATTTTGGAAGGAAATATACATACAAAATAAAATAAAGTGTGTGCTTCAGATATTTAACATGCCTAGACAACTGAAGAAGTTTCCCCAGATTAGATAAAAAATCCTGATCCATCACCTCTATTTATTATATCATAGTCCTTCCCTTTGTGCTCCTTAGTTCCCAAAAAAGTTGAGAAGATGTTGGGAAAGATGTCCCAGCTACTAAAAGATTTTACACCCCTAGTGCAGAAGATTTAACTAAATGCCTGCTAACACATTACTCAGTGGAAGCACACTAGAGAAAGAAAGGACTGCCTTGGAAAAGGAGGAGTTGTACAAAACATGCTCAGTCAATAAATTGTGCCTCTTTATGAAATGACAAAATGAAAGTATACCTAGCGATTCTTCCTTTAATTTTAATCCCATTTAAAAAAACCTTCAGGAGACTATGTTGATTTAAGGAGCAAGAAGTCCAAAAGGAACTGCTGAACGTCCAAATCTAACAGTAGATTTGGGTCTTCTCAGTCCACCCCACCTCGTCAACTAGATCACATTGACCCCTTCTGAACAATTTCCTCATAGAGTAAAAACATAAGGAGTACTATGCCGGATTGGACCCTTAGCCCATTTAGTCTAGCAGTCTGTTCTCACAGTGGTCAACCAATTGCACAAGGAAGCCTACAAGCCTCCCAGCATAGGGCCTTCAGAGACAGCCACACTATCATCAAGGCTAATAGCCATTGATCTCCATGATTTCCACCAGTTACCAAGATGTGGTAGCCACCACCAATCTCATGGTAGTGAATTCCAAAGCTGAATTATGTGCTATATAAAAAAAATACTTGGGTTTTTTTTGTTTTGATTCCTCCTGGATTCAAGTTTATTGGATGATTCCTGGTTCTAATATTTTAGGAAGTGAAAAAATATCTTCTCTTTGTGAATGTTATCTGTACCAAGGATAATTTTATACTGCTCAGTCATGTCCCCTATCTTTTTCTGGACTAAAAAGCCCCAAAATCACAACCTTTCTTCAAAGGGTAGCTGCTCTAGCGCATTGATCATCTTAGTTGCTCTCCTCTGAAACTTCTTTAGCTCCACCATATACTTTTTGAAGTGCAGCACACAATATTCCAGATGCGGTCACACCATTGATTTATATAATATTTTAGATGCTACCACTTAAGGCTAATTGTGCTTCGAAACATTCATTGTTTTGAACCACAGTTGCCATACTCCCTTGCCATTGACTTGTTGACTGACATTGATGGGAATTAATCAAAAACTTTTGTATTGTCTAATTATCTTGCTAAATTGTTGTCACAGAAACATAGAATAACAATTAGAAAGATTTAAAGGAACATCCTTCAGGATTAAAATGTCAGAAGATAGGGCTACAAACAAGCATGTGTGGGGCCATTACTTTTTATTTTATATCACTAGTCTGCATCTATCATTTATGGAGATCTTGGAAATCAAGGGGCAAATGTTGCCTGAGGTTACATGTTGCCTAATCCTGTTGTTTTAAATCATGCAGAGCGTTTCACATTCATTAACTGATTTAGTTTTGCAAAATAATGCAAAATGTATTGCAGATCAATATGTCTAAAATTATATATGAGAGGGAAACAGAGGTTCAATTATGTGGGGAAGTCAGCCTTTGAAGCAGGACATTTTGTGCTCACTGCTTAGGGTTATTTTTTAGCAATTCTGTTACAGATTCAAGCTGATAGAATTAGCTGGATTTTATTTTGTTTGAAAATCAAGTCACTGACAATCCAGGAAGATATGCAAATAAATAAATTCCAAACATAAGAATTGAGCAAAGATGCAATTTCTTTCTAAAACAGATAATGTAAAAAGCAACAATTCACTAACAGATATGTTAAAGTCAATAAAGGATTTATGCTTCATTTCATTGCTACTTCATGCAATGTATTTTAATTCCAAAGCAGCCATTTGTAAACCCTGTGATATCACATCTCCATACAACAGAATGTGTTAGTCACTAACAACCATTTTCCTTTATGCTAGCATTTCAAAAAGTGTTTTCTGCCAGACATTGTAACTCTTCTCAGTATTTGGTAGTTTATTCTAAGGTATATGTGCTTTTATTGACAAGACTCAGAACTTGAAAAAAAAGTTTAATTCTTTATCTCCTTTAGGCACAGAGGTCAGATGGCTAACTATGAGCCAGTCATCACTCTCAGCCCAACCTACCTCATAAGGTTGTTGTTGAGGGGAAAATGGAAGGAAGGAGCTTTCTGGACCCTGTCTTCAGTTGTACAGAAAACAGGTGAGATATTTGTCTGGTACATAACAAATAACTAAATCTCCCCCATGTTTTATGGAAGTGATTTCCTTAGTATTACTGACACTTCACTTGTATGAAATTGTTTGTCTTAAATATTGAGAGCAAAAGTATCTATAGAAGTGCTAGAATCTACCCCAGAAAAATAAACCTTCCCAACCTGTCAGATTACTAAAGGCTAATTTAATTTACATGTAGACTTTAACATTAGCATCATTTGGGCAAACATGCGTGAAAAGTGAAGGACTGTTGTGTGTATAGTTAAATAACAATCTCTTGATTGCTGTTCAGCCTCTGATTATTTAAACATTAATTGGCTGAATAATCAAGTTAAAATCTATTGAAATATACATAGGAGTTCCTGGGCAATTGCTGCAATAAGGAGACAGATCTTGAATCTCTTTCATCCTAGCAGAGCTGTTATTAGGAGATGGCTGAGAGGCTTGTTTCTGAGTTTCCTGTGTTCTCTGTGTCTCTCTACCTTTTCCTTTCTCTTATATTCATACCTACTGATTGACCCTTTGTGGCTGTATCTCAAATATTACACCTTGAATGATTCTTACGGACAATTAAATTGGAATTCACCTTACCCATTCATGCCATTGGCACTCATCTTGTTTCCAATTTGAAAATGATTAAATTATACAAAAATAACATATTTTATTAAAAGCACTTACTTTTGATTTTTGACTGTTTTACTCTGCTTCATGCAGATCTTGCCCAGTCTTAAACTTTGCCTTTAATTTTTGCTAAAAAAAATGAGCCCATTACCTCTGGATGGGAGACCTAAAATATGTGCAATGGAATATATTTGAGAGCAAGAAAATTGCAGCCAATCTCAGCTAAAAAAGGATATGTTCAGACATAAACTGTTATTTTTCATAGTGAACTAGTGATGAACTGTTATTTGCCATTTCAACTGTTTCCATTTAGCTTTTCCTTCCTATAGGGGCAGCAAAACATATCCAGACAGCTCTATACATATCTTTCTTAACGTTATGTGCAAACTAGAAACTCTGCCTCATTTCTTTTCCCACAAGTTAAAACCATAAACTGTTCATTTAACCATTCACAATGACTCTAACATCTTAGGAAAGGAACAATTCAGAGTTCCTATTTGAATATAATGCTAAGAATCCTCAGAAAATGATCCATTTTTTTATTTTCCTATAGGCAGTCATGAGGAGGATGTGGATTTATTCTCCTAGTTCCCAAATATAAGACATAATCCAATAGATGGCAAGTTTACTAAGGAAGATCTGAATGTGACATAAGGTAAGGAGGAATTTCCTGACCATGGGAGTTATTAAACAGTGAAACAGTCCATCTCTAGGAATAGTAGGTGCTTTATCATGAGAGGCTTTTAAACAAAAATTCAACAACCTTTAGTCCATGGTGGTATGAGGATTTGTGCCCTGGGCAGAAGACTTTGAAGGACCCTTCCATCCTATGATTCTAAGTCAGAAACTATTTTCTATAAGAAACAGGTGGTAAAGTGGTGGGCAAGGGCAGATTAAGTGAAGTTTGAGTCAGTGCAAGCCCAAAACAATAGCAGATCACAAGAGAGAGAGAAAAAAGGGCAAAGCTCAGGGTTGGAATACAAATTACACCCTGTCAAGTAATTCTGGAAAGTAATAAATTAAGAGAATATTATTAAGTATAGTATGCAAATGGAGCCAATAAAACTTAGCAAATAGGTGCTGGAGTGAGTCTATTGCCTGCATTCCATACATGTACACTTCGTATTAGCAAAACTGGCATGCTACCATTAAAAAATATCTGGATTCAATATATTATAGGGCTGGTCCAGCAAGACTTATCTCTCTTTTTCAATAGTGCAAATCAATGTTTCTTTTCAGCTGCTGGACAGCTCCCAAGAAAAACTGCTGTTTGACTTCTAAGCTTAGTTAAACTCCTAGACATTTTATTATTCCTGTATTTCTGTTTCCACAGACATAAAAGCAGTACATGGATAGGAACAGTCTTGGTGAAATTCCATCTACATGCTTTGAAAAACATTGTGATTGGAATTAAAAGGGATAGCTCTGGTAAAGTCCTTCCTACGTTGAAAATTATGACAACCAGTTACAAAATTATATTTTCTCTTCTCCTGCTCCCTTTCTGTCCCACATCAAGAGCGGAGGCCCTTTCATTGACCTGATGATGATGAATGAAATCTTTCAGTATCTCCCACCATTGACCTTTCCAGCCAAGGCTTTTGGGAGTTAAACCAGACATATGGAAGAAATTAGATTGCCAAAGCAGGATTGTAGCAGATATTATTTACTAATTATTTACAAATATGTTTCAACTGTGAAGGTCCTCTTCATTGAGGAATCAGAAAGTTACAATATAAACAAGTGGGAATAATGAATAAAAGCATTAGTTTTAGATACTGTATGCAAAACATAGTTGTTCTTCTTGCTGCAGAGAGTGACATCTATATTTTAAATATACAACTTTCATTCTAATTCATAATATGAATTCCCCCCAAATTAAGTATTTCATGAATACATGAAATTAAATTACAGCCTCTTGGAATAAAACAATCTTAGCAATCCTCTAAACAGTGAACATCAACAAACTTACTTAACTAGTATGAAAAAACACCTTTTATTTTTAAAATAGCTTTGAATGTCGGTTCAGTACAACAAGTCAAAATATAAATATGTGTTTTAGAAATGATTTAATTATACACTAAAGTCTACTTATTTTACATTAGTATAAATATCTTAAGACAAAAATGTCACAAATTTGCCCAACAATTTTGTACATTTTTATTCCTAGAGATGCTAAAAGAATAGAGTTTAATTTTGTCAATTCTATCTGCTACTTCATTTCAGCCATTTTAAATAAAAGTTATTATTCCCACTAAAATGAAGTAGCAGTTGCAATTGACAAAACTAAACCCTATCCTTTTAGCATCTCCAGGAATAAAAGTGCAGGAAGTTGTTATTCCAACTTGTTTATATTGTAACTTATTAAATGCAAAGTTAAATATATAGATGTATCTTTTAAATTAGCTATATACCACTACATATTTTAAAAAATAAACATTACACATCTACATGCATATTCTAAGGTTACACAAAATGCAAAAAAGGACTGCAAAGTAATTAGCCAGAAAATTAAAAGGATGAGATAAGATAAAGAAAAGGATATACATTATATCTAGTTTACACCAATAGCATTCTGTGTACCTTTCTAGTCTTGCAAACCTATTCATGATCTAATTCATAAATCACCTTTGATAAAACCAGTAAGTAAAGCAATAATAAAGCAATTAATAAAAACATACATGAAGATATGTAAAATGTATGGAAAAATATAAATAAAAAAATAAAAAATAGAAGATTAAAAATTACACTATTACTATTATTAAAAGGAGCATAACATTATTTTCCCTGCTACTGAAAGATAGTAGGGAAGGGTATTGCTATATTGGGTCAGCCACTGAAAAAACTGGCTCCCATGACAAAACAAACAGTACAATAACAGTCATCCAGGGGTCAGATTTTATAAACCCCAGGCCTGCCGGAAAAGCCAGGTCTTAAGTGGCTTACGGAAAACCAACAGGGTGGGAGTGGTCCTAATCTCTGGGGGAGCTGGTTCCAAGATGTGGGCGCCATCACAGAGAAAGCCCTCCGCGGCCCCGCCAAATGGCACTGCTTGGCCGATGGGACCTGAAGGAGGCTCAGCCTGTGGGATCTAACCAGACGAAGGGAACTATGACGTAGTAGGCGGTCTTGCAAATAGCCTGGCCCTGAGCCATATAGGGCTTTAAAGGTAATGACCAACACCTTGAATTGGACCCGGAGACCAATAGGCAACCAGTGCAGCTCACGGAGGATAGGTGTAATGTGGGTGTATCGAGGAGCACCCACTATCACTCGCGCGGCTGCATTCTGGACCAACTGTAGTCTCCGAATACTTTTCAAGGGTAGCCCCATGTAGAGCGTGTTGTAGAAGTCCAGAGGTGAGGTGATAAGGGCATCAGTGACTGTAAGGAGAGCCTCCCGGTCCAGGTAGAGTCGCAACTGGTGCAACAGACGGACTTGTGCAAAGATCCTCCCAGCCACAGCCTTCAAATGATGTTCCAAATTCAGCTGTGGATCAAGGAGGACACCTAAGTTGCGAACCCACTCCGAAGGGGGTATATTTTCCCCCGCTAGAGTCAACACTGGACAGTCGACATGATTCTTGGGAGGCAACATCCAAAGCCACTCGGCCTTGTCAGGATTGAGCCTGAGTCTGTTAACCCCCATCCAGACCCTCACGGCTTCAAAGCAACGGCCCATCACATCAGCCGCTTCATTGAGAGAGCTCAGGGAGGAAATATATAGCTAGGTATCATCAGCATACTGATGAAATCTCACCCCGTGCTGTCTGATGATCTCACCCAGCGGCTTCATGTAAATGTTAAATAGGGGGGAGAGGACCGACCACTGCAGCATGCCGCATTCAAGGGGCCTCGGGGTTGACCTCTGCCCTCCCACTAATACCGATTGCGACTGGCCAGAAAGGTAGGAGGAGAACCACCGTAAAACGGTGCCTCCCACTCCCACCCCTTCAAGTTGTCGCAAAAGGATACCATGATTGATGGTATCAAAAGCCGCTGAGAGGTCAAGTAGCACCAAGACAGAGGAATAGCCCCTGTCTCGGGCCCGCCAGAGATCATCCATCAGCGCGACCAAAGCAGTTTCTGTGCTAAAGCCGGGCCTGAAGCCAAATTGAAAAGGGTCTAGATAATCCGCTTCATCCAGAGTCCGTTGGTGCTGGAGCGCCACCACTCTCTCTACAACTTTCCCCAAAAAGGGGAGATTGGAGACTGGATGGAAGTTATTTAAGTCAGCTGGATCCAGGGTAGGCTTCTTGAGAAGGGGCCTCACAACTGCCTCCTTCAAGGATTGCGGGAAAGACCCCTCCCTCAACAAAGCGTTGATCAACACCTGGAGCCAGTCTCGTGTCACCTCCTTGGCAGCCGAGACCAACCAGGAAGGACACGGGTCCAATAAACAAGTGGAGGTGCTCATCACTCCCATTGCTCTGTCAACATGCTCAGTGGTCACAGACTCAAATTCATCCCATAAAACTGGGCTAAGACCTGCCCCAGTCATCTCCGAAGGCCCTACCCAATCGGAGTCTAGGTCTGTCCGAATCCGAGCGATTTTGTCTGATAAGAATTGCACAAATTCCTCTCACCCTGTAAGGGCTCCCCAGCTTCCCGAACATTAAGTAGGGAACGGGTCACCCTAAACAGGGTGGCGGGGCGAGATTCTGCAGACGCAATAAGTGCGGAAAAATGCGAACATTTTGCCGCTCGTATCGCCACTAAATAAGTCCTAATATAGGCTCTTAAAAGTGTCCGGTCAGATTTGGAGTTACTAGCCCTCCAGCGTCACTTTAGACATCTCTTCTGATGCTTCATCTCCCGTAGCTCCTCGGTAAACCAAGGTGCCCTCCGGGATCCACAATCACAGAGAGGTTGCAAAGGCGCGATCCAGTCTAACGCCCCTGATGCCGCCTTATTCCAAGCAGCGACCAAGGACTCAGCCGGTTCGTGGAGGAGCGAATCAGGAAAACCCCCAAGCGCTATTTGAAACCCCTCCGGGTCCATTAAATACCTGGGGCAGAACCACCTAATTGGTTCCGCCTCCCTGTGGTGGGGGAGTAGGACCGAGAAATCTAACCTCAACAGGAAGTGATCCGACCATGACAAGGGAGAAGTAACTATACCCCTTAAATCAAAATCACGTCTCTACTGCCCCAAGAGGAATACAAGTCGACCCTATGGGTTGGACCCTGAATTATCTGGGTCAGATCCATGGTTGTCATGGAAGCCATGAACTCCTGAGCCACACCGGAGGATTCGCCGAGTGACGGCAGATTGAAATCCCCCTTAACCACCTTCAGTATGGGAGGGCGCCTGGAAGAAATAATAGATCGAAGGAAAAAGTCTTTCCTCAAATACTGTGTTCCCAAGCTGAGAAATACTTCATAAGTTTTATTTATTTACTTAAAGTATTCATATAGCTGCTCATCATCTAATCAACTCTGAGCAGCTCCCAATCAAAAGTTCAAACAATGTATAAATCATATTAAAATCATAAAACTAAATAGATAGAAAACTTTAAGAACAACAAAGACCTTATCCCAAGTCAATGTAAAGACCCCGAATTGGACCAAAATAAACTGGCAACCAGTAAAGAACATAAAAAATTGGCATGATTTGTTCATGCCACCCAGTTCTATTCAATAAGTCTTGCCTTGGAATTTTGTACTACTTAAATTTTCTGAACCATTTGGAAGGGCAGTCTCAAGTTTACTGCAGTGCAGTAATCTAAGTGAGAAGCTACCAGGTCATGAATTACCTTAGCAAGGTGACTTGCATGCAAGTAAGACCTTTGCTGGCACAAGTACAGCCTAAGCCAGTGGTGGCGAACCTATGACACGGGTGCCAGAGGCGGCACTCGGAGCCCTCTCTGTGGGCACACATGCCATTGCCCCAGCCTTGCCTCCCCCCACGACCCTCTTCTCTCCAGCAGCCCCCCTGAAGGAGAGTCACCCCTGAGCGTGGCCCACGCAGAGCAGCACAGCCAAGGACATGGCAGCCAGGCAGCGTAGACAAGACTCTGCCCTCATATCCCATTGTGCACAGTTGATGCTGCAGGGCACGGGCAGAGGGCGTGACCACCATAGCACTGCTGGGCTGCCTGGGAGATCTGCGGCAAGCCCTGGAGGCGGTGAGTGGCCCTGCAGGCAGGTGGGGTGGGGGATGAGGGTGGAGCGGGGGCGGGGCAGGGGTTGGAGTGGGGGTGGGGCCAGTTTTGGGGCACTCAATCTCTAAAAGGTTCACCATCACTGGCCTCAGCTGATGAAAGGTGCTTTCTGCCGCAGTGCCACTAATGCTAAAGATATATCCAGAAGAACCTTGATCTATGATTTTTTTTAGGGAAATTAAAACCATATCCAGAACAGATTTAAGCCCATTCCTCCAAATAGATAAAACAGATGCAACAGATTGTTGGCCCATCTCCTCAGCAATGTCATTTTCTCATATGACTCCAGTGAAAAAAAAGAGAACTGGCTATATTCAGCAAATTTAGACATGTTATTTTAAATCAATAAATTTTCGTGTTTAGTGGTGTACATTATGGATTATAAAATGGAACCGTGAAAGTTTGTGGCATAAACATCTTGGAGTTCAGTAGATAGTACCCACAGCACTATCCTCTGAAGAAAATCATCCAGTTCCATATGGAACTACTTTAAAGCTCTTTCACCAAAGAAAGCCTTTCCAGAATTATGCCATGGTCACTAGTATCAAACACTGCTGAGAGAACTACGGAATCAGCAAAAATGCCAAATGTAAATTTCATCCAACAGGGTAACCAAAGAGATTTTGATCCTCGGATTAGGTCTAAACCCCAACTGAAAGAGATGTAGAAATTCACTGAATGTAGTTATTTATTAAGATTATATACCACCCATCTTGCTGGCCAAAGATTCAAGAGTATCAGAATCTGCATACACTTCTTGCTGGCCATTGGCTTATAATTATTTTGACCTTCTGGATCCAGTGAGTATCCTTATTTATAAGCTGTGATAAGCCATGAGTAACATGATTCAAACAAATACATAGTTGGCTGAACTCACCCAAGCATCTTGTGTGCCTCAGTCAAGCCTGAAAAATTAAATCTCATCCAAAACCCTGAGCAGAGCCCTGGGCACTTCTACAAATTTAACTGCTAAAATTATAGAGG